ACCTGTGGCTCTCTAGCCTGGGCAACAGAGTGAAACTCTCTCTCAAAAAAAAAAAAAAAATTAAAAATAAAGAAATAAATAAAATAAATTCCAGCAGATATGATAAAAGTAAAGACATGTTCCAAAATAGTCAAATATTGTTTTTGTTTTCCATTTAATTGAGAACAAAATAAGTATAACAGAGACTTGTCCACCAATTACAAAATTTAATAAAAATAGTATGCATGTCAGTCTAAAATAAAGACCAAGTGAAATTTTGATTAGAGCAATATGTTACCATATAAAAATAGTGAACAAATGACTTATGCTCCCTTGCCCTTTTCTTTCACTCTTCTGTAGAGTTTCAGTATCAAATATTTTGGAGTCTATCACATTTTACAACATACAGCTCTCGTAGGGGTCAGCAGAGCCTGTTTTTTTTTTTTTTTTCCTGTTACTAATGTTATAACGTCATTAAATTACCTTGGTTCTTTCTGAATACATCAGTAAGTGGTCTCTCCTTTCAAGATGTGCCAGATAACCAAAAACCAGAAAAGACTGCCTTTTCAGAGAAGGACATCACCTGCCTAAGGAAATTTAGTTCAGACTTTCTATGGTGAACTTAGATTGAGAGGGCGACCAACTCAGCTTCCAGGAAGGGACACTGTTTAGAAGAAAGAAGTTGAAAGAAAGAATAAAATAGAGAGTCCCCAGCATGTTTTCCCTTTGTTTGGTCATTAGTAATGATTATGTCGCTTTAAGATACTGTGACAACCCCATTATACCTTCTGATGTGTTACAGTGTATCAGAAGACACATCACACATCTGAAATAAGTTTTCAGGTTGTGCATTCTACAATTTATATTCTTTTGGTAAAATTTTAATCAGGAAACATTTATTGGACACCAGTGCTTTTCCAGATTGAGTGTGGCATTTGCAGGGGTACAAAAAATCAGGCGGTCTGGAGCCGCCCCGGTGACCCTCACTGATGAGCTGAACAGGTGAAAGGTATTTACACAAACAGTTTCCACCTAATGCCTGTTAAGTGTGTAAAACAGTTAAAACAACAACAACAAAACAGAGTTGGGAAATAGGAGCAGGTAGAGAGTTCGATTGGAGTAGATGATAGGAGGAGGACGAGCTGGGGGCGGAGTGAGTTCTGCTGCTGTTCTAGCTCCCAGGGAGCCGAGCTCCGTGCTATGCTTACAGGGAATGCTTTGTAAATAGCGTGACAGATATTTGGTTGAATTAGATACTATTTCTTGTCTTTTTTAAGGCATAACCTGGTAAACTTTTTAGTTTTGGGGGAGTATCCATCACCGTGAGTATGTAACACTTCTTTTTTTGTACTCCAAATTACTAAGGGGCTACAAATGTTTGGGGTTACATGGACCACCTTTGCAATGCTTGAGTCACTGCCCAAATAGTGTTCATTGTACCTGTTAAGTAGGTTTTCACCTACCCACTTTTTCTCCTCCCCCTGCTTGACTCCCATTGATTTTTACTTCCCTCTGTGCACATGGGTGCTCATCAGTTAGTTCCAATTTAATAATGAGTGTGTGGTGTTTGTTTTTCCATTCTTTAGATGCTGCACTTGGGATAGTGGTCTCCAGGTGCATCCAGACTGTTGTCGCAAAGAGTATTAGTTCATCTTTCACTGGGGCAGAGTAACACTCCATGGTGTACATAGACCCCATTTTGTTAATCCACTCATGCATCGATGGGCACTTGGACTCATTCCACATCTTTGCAGTATTGAATTGTGCTTCAATAAACATTTGAGTTGCAGGTGTCTTTTTGATAAAATGGGCTTTATTCTTTTGGTTAGATATTCAGTAGTGGAATTGCTGACCAAATGGTAGGTCTACTTTTAGTTCTTTGAGGACTGTCCGTACTCTGCCTACAGATACTAATTTGCTGTCCCAGCAACAGTGTATAAGCTTTCCTTCCACTCTGCATCCGTGCCAGCATCTGTTGTTGGACGTTTTAATAAAGGCTGTTCTGATTGGGGAAAAGGGATACGTGATTATGGTTTTAATTTCATTTCCCTGATGACAAAAAGTACTTTTTCATGTTTATTGGTCATTTGTCCATCTTCTTTTAAAAAGGTTCACTTCATGGCTTTTGCCTACTTTTTATAATGGATTTTTTTGTTTATTCTTGTTTATTTGTTGAATTCCTTGTAGATTCTGGGTCTTAGCCCTTTTTCAGATATATGGTTTGTGAATATTTTCTCCCATTTTGTAGGATGTCTATTTGCTATTATGTCCTTAACTGTGTAGGAGCTTTTTAATTTACTCAAATCCTATGTGTCTATTTTTGTTACTGCTATAATTGTGTTTCAGGTCTTAGAAAGTTTTTGCCTAGGCTGATATCTATAAGAGTTTTTCCTACATTTTCTTCTAGAATTCTTACGGTTTCATGCCTTACATTTAAGTCTTTTATCCATTTTGAGTTGATTTTTTGAGTAGTGAGAGATATGGGTCCTGTTTCTTTGTTCTGCACGTGGCTATGTGATTTTCCCAGCAGCATTTTTTCAGCAGAGCTTCTTTCCCCAATGTATGTTGTTGTCTGCTGTGTTAAAGATTAGTTGGCTCTATGTGGATAGTTTTATATCTGTCTTTCTGTACAGTTCCATTGATCTAGTTCTCTGTTTTTGTGCCAATATCATGCTGTGCCCTCCTGTCATGATAAAAAACCCTCGACAAGTTAGGCATAGAAGGAGCATACCTCAAAATTATAAAGGACACATATGACAAACCCACTGCCGACATCGTACTGAACGGGGGAAGGTTGAACGTATTCCTCGTAAGAACTGGAACAAGTGGGGCAGCACCTGTGGCTCAGAGGAGTAGGACGCCAGCCCCATAAGCCGGAGGTGGTGGGTTCAAACCTGGCCCTGGCCAAAAACTGCGAGAAAAAAAAAAAAAAAAAAAAGAACTGGAACTAGAGAAGGGTGTCCACTATCACCACTTACATTCAATGTAGTGCTGGAGTTCCAGCCAGAGCAACCAGGCAAGAGAAAGAAATAAAGTGTACGCTAGCTGGGAAAGAGGAGGTCAAATCATCACTTTTCATACCCAAAATGATCTTATATCTAGAAACCCCAAAGACTCCATCAGGAGACTCCCGGCATCGAACACACATGGTTAATAAAAATAGGTTGAATTCATAGGTAGAAACACATTTGAGGGAACAGATACATACCCAGTGCATCTTATGACAAGCAGTTGTTGCTTCCAGTGCATAGGGCAGGCCAGGAGTGCCATGGAATTAAAGTTCCTGGGTGTAGGCTAAGACAGTGAAGATCGACGCCAAGTCCTTGGCCCTTTGAATGCATCGTCACTGAGGAGTGTTCTATTAGATATCTCCCCCAGACGTCCCCACTGTATTTGAGCATTAGTTGCCCACAGCAGAAACCTGCTCAATACCACACTTTATGGAATTTCTTTCATTTTCTAGCTTACTTTCTTACCAGCCTTTCCTGAAGGACCACACAAATAAACTACCTGTACTAAAACAAAACATTAAAAAGACTTTTGGAATCAATTAATAAGTTCAGCAAAGTCTTGGGTTACAAAATCAGTGTACACAAATCAGTAGCGTTTATGTACACCAGTAACAGTAAAGCTGAGAGTCATATCTAAGACTCAAAACGATTTACAATAGCTACAAAGAAAATAAAATACCTCAGAATATACTTAACCCTAGAGGTGAAAGATGACAGGTAACACAAACAAATGGAAAAACAGATCGTGTCCCCACGTGGATTGGTAGAATCAATATTCTTAAAATGTCCATACTGAAAGTGGACATTTTAGATTCAGTGCTGTTCCCATCAAAATACTGACATCATATTTCTCAAATCTAGAAAAAATAATTCCACACTTCATTAGGAACCAGGAAAGAGCCCAAATATTCAAAGTAATCGTAAGCAAAAGAACAAGTTGGGAAGCTTCTCTTACCTGGCTTCAAACTATACTATAAGGCTGTAGTTAGCCATGCGATATGTTTATATCAAGTCCTCTCTTGTAGTTACTTTAAAATTTACAAACCATCTTTGCTAAATACAGTCACTCCATTCTTCTACCAACCATTAGAACTTGTTTTTTCTATTTTTAACTGTATGTTTGTATCCATTAACCAGCTTCATTTCATTCCCAACCTCCTCCCACCCTTTCTGGTACCCACTATTCTATTCTTACGTTCATGAGATCAAGTTTTTTAGCTCCCGCATATAAGAACATGTTATTTGTATTTCTCTGCTTGGTTTATTCATTTAATAAGAAGTCTTTCTTTTTGTGTTCAAAATCGTATTTGTTTTCATTATTGTCCAAAATCAGAAAGGAAATTAGTATAATTTGCGGAATGTTTTATTTTTTGTGTTATTTTGAATCAGGTGTAATAAAAATATATCAAAAGCAAGTCCTTTTAGTCATCCTAACTTTAGAAACCCTTGAATGAAATTAGGAAGTGATGATCATTTACATTTATAATACTTTGCATGTAACAAGCGTTAGCTATTAACTCTAATTTGCTTCTCATCGTATTCATCAAAGGTGAACTATCTAGAAACTAAAACATCTCTGTCAGTTAGAATTTTAATGAATTAAGATAAAATAAGACAGTGTTAATTGGCAGTTGTTGCTACAGGGAGGTTTCTAGATCTTGTAAGTGAAGCCAATTTATCTTTGTATCAGGGTTAATTTGTTTGATTTAATTCTATGGATACACTGAATATTTCCCCACACTGTTCACATTTATTTTCAGACTAGAAGAGTGGTTTAGTTCTTCTGGTATTTTATCCAGATTCTCAATTCTATCAGAAATTGATTAAAATTTGATGGTTAATAAATCGTTGGTTTTAATCAGCATTTGTATTACTGACTAATCACACACACATACATATACACAAGGAAATAGTTTTATATCTCTATCTTTATTTAAAATGCCTAAAATTCTCCCCTATCTATTCATTTGTTAACAGTGATTTTCTCCCTCTCTTTTCTGTTTTCCTCAGATATAAATGAATGTGAAGCTGATCCTTGCAAGAATGGTGGGATATGCACAGACCTGGTTGCTAACTACTCCTGCGAGTGTCCAGGGGAATTTATGGGGAGAAACTGTCAATACAGTAAGTATGTACGTGTGTGTGTATGTGAGGATGCTGAAAAATGTATACATATTTTAAAAAAGGAAAAAATGTGTTAAAACTATAATACTAATATATACTGATATTTGTAATCTTTTATACTGTAGCTTGTACCTCTTATAATTTCAGAAGTCAATGTTACTTAAGTATCACAATTTCAATACAGATTTTTCCTTTCTTAAAATATGTATACTTATATGTTTCTGGTATCCTCCATATATAAATAAAACATTATTTTTTATAAGGTCTCAATTATGAAATCTGAGCCCAAATCAATATCATTTGCTTTCATAGTGCATAATTAGTTGAAAAGGCCCATTTTGTAACTGTTGTTATTCATGTTATTGATATATGCATATTCTTTAGTGTATGCCTGATTTAGCAGACAGTATGCACCAAAGTAGTATCTTGTGAGCAGAATAAAATGACAACAGCTCTTCAAATACACGAGTCCATCTCGCCCATGCATCCCATTTTAGCTTTGAGTAGGTATCTGACCTAGATTTATACCATCAGAGTTGTTACTTATATGCAGACAGTAAATTCAGACCAGATTCCCTCTATTACAAATACAGGGTGGAGATAAAGGAGGACCCCCGTACCACACACTAGCAAGAACGTTACAGACTATTTATTTGTCTTCTTGGAAGTCTAAGTCAGCAGAGTCCTGAGATTTGGGATCAAATGACAGAGGAATCATTGACCTGAAGTGTTTATGCCAAGGGTGCCACTCTGCTAACAAAGAGCAGGGACAAAGCGGTGTCAGGACCAGCGCCAGTGGATGGGGCTGAGTGGGGCTCACACAGGTGCAGGTGAGAACAGAATGACTCAGCTTTGTAATTGCTGACACTTAGGGAAGCTTCACACTGCTACTTCTTTGGAGTATTGTATACAATCTGAGCACCACGACAATGTTATGCAAATTTGGAATGCAGATGCAGAAACTGAGACCCACGCGATGCGGTCTGCCCAAGACTGCACAGCGGGTTAGTGACCAGCAGGACTGGAAATCACACAGAGCTCTAGTGCCCGGCTCCGTGCAGTGTCCTCCAAAGTGAGATGGCTGGTGAGATGGCTCAGAAATGAGCCAGGCAAACACGAATCCCCGACGCGTGTCTCTCACACGCCGCACACACGGCCCTTTCTCTTCTGCTGTACACAGCAAGACGTTTCTTTCTCACTTTCTCTCTCTTTCTTCCCCTTTGGCTGTTATCTTTATAAAATAAAATGGGGAATATTGTTGAATAATTTGAGTTTTATATATATATATATATATAAACAAAGTAATGATCTAAAAACAGGCTGCTTATTATCCTAGTACTGAAAATCTGTGCACGGACATTTATACTGGTGGGATAATTAGGCTCAGCCCATTTTATTGGTATTTTATATTACAGATGTATTTAAAAATGAAAACATTCTTTACACCCCTCTCAAATAATAAAGGATAAAAGATATGACAAAAGAATAGAACTGACTAAAAATCTGCTCAAAGAAAATATAAAAGAAAAATGAGTAAACTGAGGAAAATGTGTAATAAATATAAACAATAAATATCAATTAATTATTATAAGTTTGAATTCGATAAAATTGGTTACAATAGAAAAAAGCATGAACAGAACCTTCCTGTCAGGACGTGATTTGATATTTATCATACTATAATTAAGTTACGGCCTCATCTTTATACTTTCTGTATATTTTGAAGTTGCAAGAAAGGGTGTGTATATCACCTTTATGGTGTGAAGAGAAGAACTATATTTTACATGAATTCTTAACGAGAGACATTAGGCCCAGGAATAAACCTGGACTGATTCTGCACGTCTCTCTGCTGCTTCTTCCTGCCTTGTTTCTACCCTGTCCCTTTTGGGGAGTGAAAATGGAAGAAAAGAAGCAGAAAAATTGGAAAATAGGTAAAATAGATAAACAGAAAAAGCTGAAATGCTAAAAAGAAGCAGAGGCTAATTGGCATTTAGAAAAAAGACTATGGAACAGAAAACGAGGGAGAAGGGAAAGGAGAGTTGGGCCACGTGGCTGTATTCTGCACACAGGCTCCCCGGGGAGTGCTGATTCCCACACACACATCCACGCTGCTACACACACGTAGAAGCACACACATGCATGTACACACATGTACACGTACACGCACTCAGAAGGGAACTTGACCTTAATCACTGTAAAGCAGAAGAGGTCCCACATAGTTCTTCAAAGACTTAAAAGCTCCAACTTGGCAATTTTACGAAAGGGAGTCTTTTCTCTCCTTCTAAGTATTCTCCTTGCTGTTTCATCCCACTGCTAGCGGGAACCTGTTTTTTAAAAAAAAAAAATGTCAGCATATGCCACCTGTCCACCTGTCACCCTGGTGCTCTGCTGGCTTCTGATGTCAGGTGGGTGGAAGTGGGAGTCCTGCTCCTGAAAGCTTGGAGGGCCTGCCTGCAGCCAGCTCACTCCCTAACCGCTCTCTGACTCTTCTCTTACTCTCTTTTTTACTTTCAGATCAATATGAGGGCACAAATGATTAGGTTACATTGTTTGCCTTTGTTAGGTAAAGTTCAAGTGGTGGTTGAGCCCCTCATCCCGGGGGCTGTGCTGTGCACCCTTACATTGTGCCCATTGGGTGAGAGCACGCCAGTCCTCTCCCCTTTCTCCTTTCCCTCCTCTCCCCCAAGCTTGAAATGAACTGTGTTTCTCTTGTGTGGGCATGTACTTGTTCATTTACTGGCTTCATATTACTATTGTGTACTTTGGATACTTGCTTTTTCATTCTTGAGCTACTTTACTAAGAAGAATATTTTTCAACTCTATCCAGGTTAAAACAAAAGAGAAACTTTCCACCTTTTTGTGGCTGAATAGTATTCCATGGTGTACGTTTAGCACTGTTTTATTAATCCATTTATGAATTGATGGGCACTTAGTTGATTCCACATCTTGGCAATTATGAATTGAGCTATGATGAACATTCTAGTGCAAATGCCTTTATAATCTATAAAATTAAAAATACATAGCAGTGGCTGAAATTTTTTTTTTTTCCTTCTGGGTAAATACCTGGTAATGGGATTGTGGGATCAAATGAAAGGTCTACTTGAAGCTCTTTGAGGATTCTCCATATATCTTTGCATAGAGGTTGTATTAGTTTGTAATCTCACCAGCAACATGAAAGTATTCCCTTCTCTCTACATCCCTGCATCTGTAGATTTGGAACTTTGTGATGTGGCTGTTCTCACTAGGGTTAGTGATATCTCAGGGTGGTTTTGATTTGCATTTCTGGAACAGTTGAGATAGCTATCTGAGAGCAGCCTATAGCTTACAAGTGTCCCCTGCCCCCAGCCCCACCCCACCCAAGTTGGAGGAAGCAAGACTGGTTCTTAAGACACTTAACACATGGCACCCCTGAAGAGGAGCTTTGGGACGCTGTGTACGGGAAAGGTCACAGATATAAGCCACAGCTCATTTGAATAGTCAGTGGTGAGAGGAAGGGTGAGCTCCTTATCCTGGGGCCTCTGGATCTGATTTCAGGCACCTGTTTTAATTTCTAAACAGGTCTCCTGGGTGCTGCCCAAGGGATTCCAACCAGATCATCTCTCAGTAACAATTCAGGGACTCTCTCTTTGCTATGCTCTGCTCTGGCCACGTTGCCCTCCTAGTTGCTTCTGGGCACACACTGGCATGTTGTTGCCCTGGAACGTTTCCCCTATTTCCTCTCCCCTTTCTCCCTTTCTGTAACAGGCTCTGTTGTGACCTACCTCATGCTTCCTATAGGTCATTGAATAAAACACCTCTCCGTGAGACCTTCCCTGAACTCTCAACCCTCAGCGCGTTGGAACACACACTACCCCTTTCTTTGCTTTATGTTTTTCTCCTTTGCATTAATCACTGCTATGGATTTTTAATTTATAGATTATTGACTGTTCCCCCAAGAGTGTGTGCCTCAGGAGGGAGAGGTTTTATTGCTGTAAATCATAAGTGCTAGAGCAGTGCCAGCAGACAATAAATGCTCAATAAATATTTGCTGAATAAAAAAAAAATTTGCTGAATGCATCAATGAAGTTAGCACCTTGAGTTCCTTAAGGATAGAGATGATAATCTGATTTTTCTGACTTTATTGTGTTCAAATCATTTTTCATCTGACTTTTCATTTTGTAAACATATTCTGAAGATGCTTCCCCCCGTATGTAAAATCTAATCTTGTCATATTAGTTGGTGCTTAATAAATACTGATAGCAACTTGAATTATAACTCTATGTGGCAGTGTACATGTAGGTTTAAAATAAGTGAGGCAGACAGATCTTGTTTCTCTTTTTAGGCCACTTTTGCATGCAGACATCTTGATAATTTATATTACATAATTTACTCATCCATTTTAAGTAATTATCAGCACATAATATCAGCAACTACTACCACAAACCTTGAAAAAATAACACAATAATTTTGGAGAGAATTTTTCTCACTGTAGACAGCCTAATTTTGATATCTGTCCACTAATTATCAAAAATATTTGCTCATTTTAGATATTTCTCTGCCTTTCTTCTATTTTTACTTGACTTTCCATAGTCAGCTAAATATTAGGACTGTTTTTGCCAGTACAATTAAATAAAACACTTTCAATATTAGTGGTATACTACATTTTAAAAACTAAAATATGTTTATTTATATTCACTTAAGCGATTAAAAGCAAGCTGTTTATGCTGAGATATTACCTTAATAAAAATTACAAAAATAGCTATCTATGTGAATTCTTTATTATAATGTATGTCTTTAATTAAGACAGCTCCTAAGAACTTTTGCTTTATAAAGAATAAATTTATATCTAGCTCGATCTATTATGACCTGATGCACAATAATGGGATAATTATTATGAAAATCAATTGCCCATTGAACATTTTCAAAACAATGCAGTTATTTCGACTGTTAATGATTAACCTTTTAATACGAGGGCAAAAAAAACTGCCTGCAATTTTCCAGTAATTATTTCCCAAATATATTTG